AGCATCACGGTCTTCACAAAGTGTCTGTAAACTTTTGTTCACAACTACATAAGCGTTACTGAGCGTCCTCCAGCCTGGACCTCCTCCCTCCTCCCTCCTCCTGGGCCCGAAGCAGCATCACACCCTGCTATGTGTCACTCCGGAGTCACAACCCTGTCTGCCCCAGGATCCATTGTGCATGCCGGGCCGGAGAGGAAGTCCTTACCCTTTCCTTATAGACGCACACACAGCGAGTGTCGCTGACCCACGCCTGTCACCCCCACCCTCCGGCCCTGCTATTTCGAGAGTGTGACGCAACAGCTGTGAGTCACATTGTCGCCGTATTAGAATACACATGTGTACACGCTCATGCACGTAAAAAAAAATAAAAATAAAAAAAAAACTGCGTGGGCGCCGAGGACAATACTGATGCGAGGAGGCAGCTGCGGGGAGCGAGGACAATGGAGGCAGCGGCGCAGCTAATAGAGGATCAGCCAGGAGATGCGGCGGAGGTGAGATGAGTAAACGCAGGGGAGGCTCCGAGTGTCACAACAGATGCTTCGTTGTGGTGTCTTACTCCGTCCCGTTAGCAGCTCGCTGCCAGCAACAATCTGGGGGCCGAAACAGTTGCATTTAACAGATGCGTTCAAGCAAAGCAACTTAAAAAAAAAGGGGGGAATAAAGTGACTAATATCACCTGAACAGCGTGCCGTACATGTGTCGAGTAATTTGCTTCTGAAACCCTGATTTGTTTGTGGGCGCGCTCCAGGATTAGTTTCACTTGGCACTAATCCCACAGTGGGCTATGATTAGATGCAGTTTATACGTGATGATATTTGTAGAAATGTGCTGCAGCTGCAACACTTAAGATATTTTATGTAATCATTTCTGTCCCTGCACTAGTCGCGCTAACATGACAAAATCCTTGACACTCTGATTTTGTACGTCTTAGAAGTGGCCAACGATGAGGAGCACAGGGTTCAAACAAGACAAGGCTTGTGTTCATGATCTTATCTTAAAGATGGAGTATGTGATTCTAATCTAATAGAGTTTTTGTCACATTCAGTGAATATCTCGTCATGGTTCGCTGGCTGTCTGTTCTGCGTGTGCGCTGAACAACATCCAGTGTTCACATACAACCACAGCTCAATAAATGGGAAACAAACAAAGCAGCTCAGACGAGGGCTGAACAACATGCAGAAAATACTGCAATTATTTTGACAGATATTGCAATATGAGTCACAATTATAGTGGAAATTGTCAGTTTTAAACCTTTTCCAGTGAAAAAAAAACATAAAAATGATGATGGGGTTTTTGCTGCTGTTCCCTAACGTCTGGAGAACATGATTTATGGGCCGGGTCATCTCTGAAGCACCGCAATACCTCATGTATAATGGGACGCTGTGAGACACTTTGCTTTCATCAGAAAATTGCAACTCCTGCGATTTGGATATTGCCCTTTTTTTTTTTCTTTGTACGATGTTGCTAATATTTCGATCAATCAGCCGATCGATCAGCGTGTTCAAGCTTGTGCACATTTAGCAGAAAGACAAGAAGCAGAAGGAAGCGACTAACCAACTCCGTCCAGAGGTAATAAATCTCTACAGCTCAGAGGCTATGAAGGCGTAAGGCGAGGATTCACATATGTGGAAGTAGAAAGCCGTACACAGGACTAGTTAGATGGAGCTGACTTTGCAGTGGGGTTACGTCCCACAAGGATTGTAAGAATTCATTCAATGTGTTGGCCATAAATCAGCATCACAGGAAACATTCTGTCAGATTTAATAGAACATCTGTGCTGGATGCAGCTTCAGCAGGGCTGAAAGTAGCCATTATTCCTACTGCTAATTAATCCGTCTGTTGTTTTCTGAATGAAATGTCATAAAGTGGCGTTTTCCAGAGGCCCAGATGACACTCTCTAATGTCTTGTTTTGTCCACAACTCAAAGATGTTCAGTTTACTCTTGTATAGGAAGAAAGTAGCATGACGATATTCACATTTCAGAAGCTGGGAACCAAATTTTTTTAAATTTAAAAAAAAAAAAATATATATATATATATATATATTTTTTTTTTTTTAAATCTTGAAAATGATTAAAATTTATCAATTGATTAGCAAAATAGTTGCCCAAAACCCAAAGATATTCAGTTTACTGCCAAACAGGAAGAAAGAAATCAGAACATAATGGTGCTTCAGATGCTGGAAGACGTTTTTTATCTTAAAAAAAATAAAAAATAAAAAAATACTCAAAATGATGAACGGATTATCAAAATAGTTGTCATTTAATTTATTAGTTATTAACTAATCACTGAATCCACTCATTGTTCAAAAAACAGGAAGAAAGAAATCAGAAAATAATCATATTTAAGGAGCTGGAAACTTAAAATTGAGCCTTTTTGGTCTCTAAATGATTAACTGATTATCAAAACAGCTGCAGTTTAATTTAATAGATACCAACTAATTGATTAATTGCTGCAAATCTAAGATTGTCAAGACTACAAAAAGAGAAGCTAGAAGTCGATAATTTTTGCTTTAAAACAACTTCATTTCACTAACTTTGCCTTTATGTCCTTAAAAACTCTACAACTAATTAATTGGTCATGAAAATGTAGGAAACTAATTGAAGAGTTGTCTAATCTTTTCATGGCTGCAGCTCTATTTGCATGGCGCGAATAACTGTTTATATCTGCAGAAAAACGAGCTCGCACAAAAACACACGCATTCATTTTCATACAGATGAGTGTACACAGTTTAGGCTTACCAAGGACACATAAACACATTTCCCTCTCATCTTTTTTAGATGGTAAACAACGCGCACAAATGCAATTCAATCTAATCTCGTATCCATCTCCAGCTTTCAGCGGGTCTCATAAGACTGACATTTCCATACCCAAAAAAAAAAAGCAACTCTACGTTTTTATGCCTTTGACAATCACCTTGAATCGTGAATAATTGTCTGTGTAGGCAATTTTCGCTGGAAAACAACATACTCATGCATAAATGTACGACGCAAATAAACACAGATGCTGCTTAATATGACACGCCGATAACAGGTTGTACGATCAGAGACAAAAAAAAACTCTGATTTGTAGTCAGAGGAGAACTCAAGCCACAACATTAAAGGCTAATTTTACCCACTCTGAGCACCACTACCACCGTCATTTTCCCCTTTGAAACGGCCTTTCTTCTTCCCCTTCTCCCCTGCATGTGCTCCTGTTACTCTAATAGTGCAGCAGTCAGTGATAATTTGGCTGCAACTATTCCAACCCACACAGAACTGGGCTCCTCTGAGGCACCTAGAGCAGGAGGGGGAGGGCCGAGGTACACAGAGGAGCAGCATGGTAGGTTGCACCGACACGATGAAAGCCAGAGTGGAAGGGAGAGAGAGAGAGAGAAAAAAAAAAAGAAAAAACGTAGCGTGTGTTGCTGCAGACGTACCATAAGGAAAGCATGACAATCAGACAGGTTTTCCTTTTACCTGCAGTGTCTGATCTGTAATCCAGTCACTGCTCTCTCACTGCTGCAGCTATCGAGTTTAAAATGTGCTTTTAAAGATATTAAAAACTACTGTAAAAGACACAGATGAAAGAAAACGTGTAGCTTGAAAGTAGTTGTAAATAACCGCTGCTTTAACAGAAGTGTGATGAAAGATTATTGCTGATACACAAATCTGGCTCCGAGTGCACGAAGGAGGGAAGGTGTGTGTGAAGGAGGGAGGTGAAGGGTGTATTTGGAAGCTTAGAGGAGATCTTGAATCTAGGGTGGATAAAATTAACACACTTGCTCTTAAAGCCACAAACCAACACACACGAGCTCCTCTCAGACGTGGAATATGCAACGATGCTGCTTCATCAGTCTGCTGAAGTGATGCCGTTTGATCGCTTTTACTTTAATGTTTCTCACGGCATCATTCAGAGAGAGAGAGTCACAATACGTGTGTGATTGGACAGTAAATCAAGGGGGACACCCTGGACAGGTCACCAGTCTATCACAGGGCTACACTTAGAGACAGACAACCAAGCACACTCACATTCACACCTACGGACAATTTAGAATCACCAATTAACCTCAACATGTTTTTGGACTGTGTGGGAGGAAGCCGGAGAACCCGGAGAGAACCCACGCTGCACGGGGAGAACATGGAGACTCCACGCAGAAAGATCCTGAGTGTCCTCACCGGGATGCGAACGGGCGACCTTCTAGCTGTGAGGCAACGATGCTAACCACCGAGCAGCCCTACTTTCCCAACAGTAAAATAAAAATATCCCAAAAGGTATGAAACAAATGACATACTGCAGCTGATGAACTATAACTCTGTACAACAGCTCACCTGTTTGAGGTGAAGAACAATACAGAGTGACTTGCTGTTAGATCCTGATTGATCCTGTCTCTATGTCGGGGATAATTCATAATTAGGGTCCGAGGACCCCTACTTGTTATTATATGAAGTTACTGTGTTTGACACTTGTACATAAATGTGTGCGTTGATCCTGCTGCTGTCTGACGCTGCAGATATTTAACAAACTGAGAGGAAAGACTTCGACAAACAGCCAGAAGCAACTAACTGAACTTCAGCTGCTGTTAACATTGTCTCAAAACCCAGATCACATTAATTATTGGTAAATTCCATTAATCTGATCTGTTTCAGTTTGAAATCAGTTTCAAATCATCGGGTGAAGTGAATGCTTGTGCATGACTTTCTGTTCCTGTTCAGGTTTGTGCCATGTTGAAAGTGATACAGAAATATCACTAGGTCCAGGACTTTTACAGAAAAGTGATCAAGCTGCTCATCCACACATAAACCGACACTAATGCAGTCAGAGTAATAGAATGAAGTGCATGTCTGAAAGACCCTGAAACCTCCCACTTAACATGAAGTTCTATCTAGAACCACCTCCACCAAAGTCTTCACCTGCCCAACTACAGAACACAAATCTAAAGGTAGCCCCTGGAACCACTTCCCTTCCCTTCAGGTATTTTCAATTCCTAGTTCTTCCTGGAAACACATCTGTGATATCAAACTATAATTTGTACACTTGCTTAAGCACAAACTGTTCAGCAGACGAGTTTTTTTTCTTTCTCTTTATGACTCTGAAGTCTGCAGTCACCCTACATCCTGGCCAAGGTGAGCTTTGGACCCATGTGATGAGAGGAAGCGTACCGTTGCACTTCTGTTTGCAAAAGTGAAAGGTTTTGTTGCCAAAATAGGCTGAACTCTCCACTCCATCAACTGCAGCACTGCAGGCCTGAGCACTGCTTCTTCTGCCGCCCTATTGCAGCAACCTGCACGGCCCTGACTTGTGTTCAGAAATATTTCTTTCGATTTTGCATATTTTTCTGGTGTTTCAAATGGTTCTGATACTCTTGGAGGCCAGAAATCAATTGTGCACACACATCCCACAGGTTTGGAAGGCTACAGCGGATAATCTTGCAACCCAGATAAAAGCTGTGCTCACACTCTCTGAATGCCTATGATTAATCACAAGCAGCGTCCTTGGGGAGGAAGGCGGCGTGCAGAGGGCTTCTCAGTGGTACGAGCGTTCCACAGTGAGGTCAGCGCTGCATTCGAGGTTGTGTGTCTGTGAAATGTGTGTGAATCTTTGTTCATGCGAGTGTGTTTTTATGTGGAAAGTGTGGAGAGTCACCTTGACTGCGAAGCTGCATTTGCCGCTGCGGACCGCCTCCTCGTCCGTCTGCCACTGGTGCGGCCGACTCGACTCCGGCACGTAAACGTCTTTCTTCCGGCGGAAGCTCTGCCGTAGCTTATTCATTGCTGAGCTCCCTGTAAGTGACGAGAGAAACTTTATTAATCAAAGGGTGAAAACTGGGCTGTCAGCAGCAGCTAAACAAGAAGATGCAGCACTGTTTGAAATCTGGACGACGACAGAAAAAGACGAATCACTTTAAGTAATATAATAAAACGTTGGAAACTAAAGGAAATGTACCAATTCACAGCCAACAGAGCATGTCGACACAGAACGAATTAGTCAACTTCCTCTGTTTGATAATGGATAAAAAGCAGGTGATTGTGAAGAACCACAGTACCACAATACTACTTTCAGGAGTCCCGTTTAGTTCCTGTAAATAAGAATCCTTTAAACGCAGTGAACAATGCAGTCAGCTGTTGTCGCTCTGACTCACCAGGAGGAACAAAAGAGCCGAGCAGCCCGAAGAGAAGGCAGCAGTCCTGCTTTGACTGGGAGAACTTTTAACCTGCTGACTGAGTGAGGACTGCAGGACTACAGCCATGTGATAATCCAGATTTCACAGTGTCCAACTTTTTAATTTAGATAGTCTGAAAACTTCAACTCATATCTTGAGCACTGCAATCAGGCCTCTGGGGAATTCCTGCACATAAACTGGAATTAAGCTGCAATGTGAAAGTAGAAACCTGACTCAAAGAGGTCGAAGAGCGTATGACAGGATCTGTAAAGTAAAGGCCAGAGTTCGTGGTTCCTTGAAGGGAAAACAAAGGTGATCAGTAAACTGAATAAATAAACCCTATTCCTGGTATCTGGACTCTAGCCTCCAAGTCAGCTGGTCAGTTGGTTGGTCAATACGCTCTCACTCAACCGAAGCCTAACTGGTCGACAATCACCAGTATTTCTTTCATAAAATAAAAAGCTCCACGTAAACAGTCTTCTCAAATTAATCCGTTATTTTTGGCACTACCTGTGAACACCCCCGCGTTGTCACAGAACCGGCCCAACCTAATGGAGACTGGCAGGTCTAACTTATTTACGTTTACTGAATGTTTACTCCGAGTCGGCTCCAAACAAACTGACACCATGTCAAAGAAATTGCCGGTGTGGCTGCATTTTGTACAAACAGATTTTGCAAACAGCAGTTTGCATATCGCAGCTTAACAGGAATCGCTGCATCATCTCAGAACAGCAGGCTAACTCCTCCACAGCGCTTATGTTCAGATTGGTGTATGACTGTTTTCAGAAATCACATGAACATAGGCAGGTGTACAAAGTCAGCTCCAAGACTGTTATAATTTATCAGGCAAAAATGACTTAATATGCCGCAAATATAGTTTTTTCATAATTATTGAGGTGAGCAAGGCTAGCAGGCAGAGTGCACTCAGTGTGCTATGGACCATTTAGTTTTCTAGAGATAACATGCAGATTTTTTCCCCCTCATGACTGATAAAGTTGTTGAAGAACTTCTTCAGTTAACTACAGCCAACTCCCAACAACGTCTAAATAACAATTCAGTCTCCACAAAATAACATTCCTATACGACTAAACTGTATTCTCAATTATGTTTTGAAGGAAACACATTTTCTGGCCGATTACGCATTACAATATGTTTTTATTCAACATATATTTCTAGCTTCCCTGTTTTGTCTTTCAAGCCGACCAATCACATACTAGATGGGGCGGGACTTGTCACTCTGGTAACCCAGAAAATAGAGGAGACGCTTCTAACATGTAGTGAACGGCTTGTAGTTTAACCCAAACCATGACATGTTTCCTGAGTCTAATTTGGGTGTGTGAACTTAATGAAGCTTCGTTTATAAGTTTCTTAGAAAGTGTGATATTTTTCTAAACCTAACCACGTAGTTTTTGTGCAAAAGCTAGAAAATGAGTGAAAAACTAAACAACACAACGACAGAAAGCTACATGTATATCTCAGACTGAGGGTCACTCATTCATCAGATGATGCAAACCGAGGTGAGAGTCCAGCCGCTGGTCAGAAATTTTGTTAAAATCGAAAAACTAAATTATATTCCCCTAAAAACACAATTGAGAATGCGGTTTAATTGTATAAGAACATCATTTTATGTTATGACAGGGTTGCAAATAAAGTAGTAAATAACCAGTAAATACTTATTTTACACTTGTATGATTGTTTAACTGCTCGTGTGTGTTGCACTTTCAGCCTGTCTGCATTTTGACATCCAAGGAACGCACAAGGTTACCTAAAACCACACCTTGAGGGGTTGAGCAATAAACATAAAACCCAGATTAGTAGAATTCCTTAAAAATGTAATATAATGACTTCTAGTTTTGTTTTAGCGCAGCAAAATGATTTGACAATCCCCCAAAAAACAGCACAATTAATTAAGCCAGGAGCCGTGCTTTAAACAGCACATGTATGTCTTCTTGGCTCTGAGGGGGGGGATTAGGAGGCACAAAAAAACAGAGACCCAATTAAAAGTTGCTGATCCAAACTAGAGCTGAGAGGTGCATCCATCATCGAAAGCCTGGCTCACATCTCCCCGAGCAGCTCGTAACAGGGGACCACAAGTCATTCAGCCATGCAGCTCTGACTTTTAACACGTGAGCCCAACATGCTCCTCCACTAACAAGTTGTACCCACTAACTTCTGAGCTGATGAGGATCTGGCGGGATTAAAAGGTCTTTAATCCAGGAGAACTGACTGTCCACACACACACACACACACACACACAAGAGCAACATAGCATGCGCACACACACATATGCACCTACTTACACACAGGACCTGAGCTGTCTGTTTGCATAATGAAACCTGTCCTGTGAGCCGGTAATGGCTGCGAGTAGAAAGTGTATTTGAGGTGAGGCTCCCTTATCTGTCCATGCCAGGCTCCAGCTCTGTGGGCAGCGTACAATGCAGCTTTCAGGCCTGACCAGGCCACAGAAACACACATAAACACATCAAACTTCCTACTGTCACCAGAGGGGAGGCCTGGAGTGGACCGTGGACTGTGAAAACGTCTCAAGAGCAGCACATTTCTGCACCCCGAGAGCGTCTACAAAAGATAGACGACAAAGTTAACCTGAGTTTGAGGCTATTTTACAAGACAGCTACATTTTGTGAACTATTTCTTGACCAATGAGTGGCAGTGAGGCAGAGTGTGCAAGCCACCAGTCAAACATAAGAATCGACTACCTCAGGGGTAGAGCAAGATATTCTGCATTTTTCCAATCATCTATGTCATTATTTTTACAGGCAGATTATTGATGAATGAAATGTGCTTCAGCTCTGATGCAGCCTCCTCTCCCCGTCTGTCGTCACTCTGTGGTGTCAGATACGTGTCTCAAGCAAAGACTGCAAAAACTGAAGAAGAAACACAAGCCGTCTTCACAAACCAGGAAATTAGCTTCTCTCACCATGGCTAAGGCTATGCTAACAGCTAGTGGCTAGGGCAGAAGGCAGCCATGAATTACCCTGAAACAGAGTCTGGAAAACTAATTAATAATGCTTTAAAATATGGACCTTAGTAGGTAACAAAAGTGATAGAACAACAGAACCGCAGGAGACAAACTCAGTCAGTTCATTCATTCATTCCTATTTCTGTTGTACGTGTTCCGTTATCGTAATCCTTGTTAATTAAGAAGCCTGGCTATGAATTATAGGTTCTCTACGATCACATGCTGGTAAATATAACAGTTATCGGCCTTTCTTGATTACAAGTAATCGGTATCGACCCTGAAAACCCATCCTGGTCGATGCTTAGCCCACATACTCTGTAACAGAAACTCTGATTGGCTGCAGCATCAGCCACAAGCAGACAGTGGCGACCCCTGAGCTACGCTGCAGGTACGCTCTGGAAATAAGGCAGAAACAACAGTTAACTAACTGTAAAGCAGGTGCTGCGAAGCATGAAATCACCTGCTTCGTAATAAGAGCCTCTGCAGGTGTAATGATATTTAAAAAAAAAAAAACCCAACGACACCCAGCGTGCAGGGCTGCATCGACTGTGCACATACGCAAGTTGTAGCCTGCAGAAGAGTGAAGTGTTTGGAAACAAGACGATAGAGCGAGGGGAGAAAAGATTGCTTCATCCCTCACCCGCGCTCCCTCCTAACGCACTCGTTTATTTAGGTCATATCATGTTTGGGCTCACTGCAGTGCCAGCGACAGGCTGCATGCTTCCAGCCTGCAGAGCCGAGAGGAGGAGCAGGACCAGAACACATTTGTCTGCACCTCGTCTTCGGTGCAACAAATTAAAGCCTTTTGTTTTCCGACGCGCCGTGCACACGTTCTGAGTAAATGTTCTCACTTTGAATACATTTCTCACGTCGTCACCAGACACCAGGCACCGCCCAGCGCTAACGGTTGGAACGTATCTCTGAGATGTGTCAGCGATGCTTGTGGTATTTTAAGACGTCTTTAAGAAAACTTGTCAAATGGCTGGTATTTCATAAAACAGACCTCTTTTTTTTTTTTCTTAAACCCCAAACAGAATGTGAAACAGATGTGTTTTGACTCCTTAACCAACTTGTAAACCACACATTTTCTGAAAATATCAACCAGAGGGAGGTCAGTTCTAAAGTAGGAAACAATGACAGCAACTTATTCATATTAGAAAACATCTCCACGTTGCTTTTTTTTGCTAACCAACATTACTAAACAGACAATTTACTCGATAACAGAAGACAAATGCAACACATCGTAGTATCTGAAACAAAAATTTGATCCTTTTTACTTTATGAAGCTACACTAGTCGTCAATTTTTATTTCGTTTTAAATGACTATTTGTAATGTTCTTCCAGAAGGGAATCATGTCACCACTCTGCAGCCCCATCAGCTCAATTTTTGGAGTCTCATTGTTTTGATTCTTCATTTTACTAAGACACCGCCAAACATCTTCTTTCCTCAGGAGACCAAAAAAGAACTGAGAGTGAATATTTGCCAGACTACCAGAAACACCAATGGAAGCCAATGATGTGAGTCCCCAGCTTCATTTCCAAACACTTCCTGGTGTATTTCCATTGCACTATGTCAAGAAAAAGGGGGGTAACTGCCAAAAAAAAATAAAAAATCTTTGAAGTTGGTCTGTCTCTGCAGG